AAAGTGTCGTTTAAATGTTTGCATAGATTGAATCCAGCAAAACATACTTTAAAAGGTTTTAGAAAACATATAGAAGCAAACTACACCTAATGCATCATATATATATATATATATATATATATATATATATGTTAGCAAATGTTGTGCATTGTGTTCTTGTCTAATAATAAAAGGCATGAACATAAATAAATAAACATAATCTACTGTGTATTTGAGGGTTCAGTTTCAAAATGTTCTGTTGCCTTTAATTGAATCATTTTAATACCATTACCCGACAATATGTATAACAATTTGATGTTAAGTTCAGCATGAAAACAATAACACCACGGTTGATTTTTATCTCATACAGATTACAATCAGCCTGCAGATTGCAGAGAATACAAGGACACATGGTAAGCTTGAGCCCTAAGCAGGCAAAAGTATTATTCATACTACATTTTTTGAGACAGTCAAGAGTATGGACACACTTAATCAAATGTATGATCCTTTTCAATTAATTTTTTATGACCCTAAAAACCTTTTGGTCTGGTGTATTATATATAATGCTTGACATAATTTGGTCTTTTTTCCATCTTATGTCTTATGCTTAAATGTGCATTTTATAAAAAATAAAAAAAAGCACTGAAAAGAATATGTGTGCAAACCTTGTGATGCACACGTTTTAGTTTCGTATTAATTCTTAATTAATGTTTCTCCCATTGAATATTGTTTTATTACTGTGTCTCAGATGTCCACTAAAGTTGGATCTGAAGTTCTGTTTGAGAAAGTTGGGAACGCTGGAGTCATCACACTAAACAGACCCAAAGCTCTCAATGCTCTGAATCTCACCATGATCAGACACATCTACCCTCAGCTCAAGGTTAGGGGAGACTGGAAACCTTTCTCACAACATCAATAATAGCCCTATATTAATTTTGTCACCCAATCCAACTTTATATGACAATCTCGGATTGTTAACCTACTTTAATCGTGTTTTTGTAGAAATGGGACAAAGACTCAGAAACGGATCTAGTGATCATTAAAGGAGCAGGGGAGAATATTGTTTTATTACTGTGTCTCAGATGTCCACTAAAGTTGGATCTGAAGTTCTGTTTGAGAAAGTTGGGAACGCTGGAGTCATCACACTAAACAGACCCAAAGCTCTCAATGCTCTGAATCTCACCATGATCAGACACATCTACCCTCAGCTCAAGGTTAGGGGAGACTGGAAACCTTTCTCACAACATCAATAATAGCCCTATATTAATTTTGTCACCCAATCCAACTTTATATGACAATCTCGGATTGTTAACCTACTTTAATCGTTGTGTTTTTGTAGAAATGGGTCAAAGACTCAGAAACGGATCTAGTGATCATTAAAGGAGCAGGGGAGAAGGCATTCTGTGCTGGTGGGGATATCAGAGGTAATTATGTAAGATAATCGTGCAGTTTGGTTTTTCATTCACTCTTAAATGGATCTATGCATAGATAATACAGTCAAACAGATCTGACATTCACACTGAAATGCAAAAAATATTTTCCAAGCTGTCTCAGAAGCTGGAAAAGCAGGCGATTCTCTCACTCAAGACTTATTTCGTGAGGAATATATTCTTAACAACACTATTGGTATGTTTTCACACTTCTGTTGCCGTTTTTGAGGTTTGATGAACAGATGAATCGATTGATTGATTGATTTTAACTCTTTTTAGGTACATATCAGAAACCGTATGTGGCTCTAATCGATGGAATTACAATGGGAGGAGTAAGTATTCATCTAAAATTGTTGTCTTGTTGCACAAGTTCACCAGCAGATGGTGCTGTCTGTTCTAATTTAACAGAATATGGCATTAAAGGAACCAGAGGGCCAGAGGCAGTGTGGGCCAGCTTGTCTTGTGTTTACAAAATATAAAAAGAAATGAAGGACAAAGCATCCGCTTTATATGAAACAATATATATAACTGTTCCATTCTTTTCATTGTCATTATGTCATTATGAATTTGCCCAAAAACAGTAGGACTCACATTGCTACTGGCTTCATGCATAATGCACAATCTAGGTGTTCTCATTTGTAAACATATGCATGAAAATACTTAGACATAAGGACCCATGAGCTATTATTATATGCATTCTTGGTGCAATTTTCCATATTTTGCAATCATGTTTGACCATATGAGCTGCAAGCCAGTTGACGCACTATGAGTCATAAACCCCTCTTTTAATCCTCTTAATTTCTGTCCTGCACTGAGTATTTTATCCAGTAGGTGTCAGCAGTGAGCTAATCTTGCAGACAATCTTTGGGTTTCTTATGAATCAGTTCTCAAGTGTCCTCCCATTGGTAGGCTATGGATTTGTTTAAGTAACACTTTATATTTACATTCATGTTGTACATTACATGTAGGCCTAAAAGTCATTCATTTAATAATTACAGTTGCAATTAGAGATGCATCACAAATGATCTGGATTCAAAAATGTATACTCAAAATTTTTAATATTTTAAAATGTATTTAAAAATTTTACACTTTAAATTAATTACTAATAATTCTGCTTACAATAGAGAGGTGCCTAAAATTCCTTCTAATGCTTAAAGGAATAGTTCACCCAAAAAAGAAAACTTTTCACCCTCGGGCCATCCAAGTTGTAGATGAGTTTGTTTCTTCTTTGGAAATGTATCATTGCATCACTTGCTCACCAATGGATCCACTGCAGTGAATGAGTGCCGTCAGAATGAGAGTCAAAACAGCTGATAAATACATCACAATAATCCACAAGTAATCCACACGACTTCAGTCCATCAATTAACATCATGTGAAGTGAAGAGCTGCATGATTGTAAGAAACAAATCCATCATTATGCTGTTTTAACTTTAAACCATTGCTTCTGGCCAATATAGTCCATAATTCATAAAAATGCTTCGTCCAATGGAAAAGTCCATATTTGTTTAGAACTGTTTTTACTTGTAAACTGTGCTGGATCTGCATATTTATAATTCAGACTACATGACTTTTTCACTGGAGAAAGCAATATTATGGAGAGAGGACTCGTCTTTTAGCTGGAAGCAACGGTTTGAAGTAAAAAAATGTCTTGATGGATTCATTACACATGCAGCTTTTCACTTCATAAAACAATAATTAATGGACTGGAGTTGTGTGGATTACTTGTAGTTTATTGTGATGTATTTATCAGCTGTTTGAACTCTCATTCTGACAGCACCCATTCACTGCAGAGGACCCATTGGTGAGCAAGTGATGTAATGCTAAATTACTCCAAATCTGTTCTGGTGATCAAACAAACTCTTCTACATCTCGGATGCTGTAAGAGTGGGCAAATTTTAATTTTTGGGTGACCTATTCCTTTAAAAAAATGTGTATTCATAAGCAGCATATTCAGTAGATGTTGTTCATTTGTATTGTAAAACTTTCACTATAACAAGAACGTATTAATCTGTACTAACTTTATATTTTGAACACTCTTTTACAGAGCAGTTGAAATATTACTGTCTTCATAGTTTCATGGGGTTCTGGCAGTAGGAGAGCAATGTCACAGTGGTGGAATCTGTCAGCTCCTGGTGTTTAATTGATCAGGGATTCTGTCAAGGTCGAGGTACAGTGGTTTGACCTCAGTGCCGTGCATCCTTTGGTCTGAGCCATTTGATGCATAGCTGCTGCGTGATATGTTTCAGCTGGGGACTCTGAACTGTTATTTAAGAATGGAATGACCATGCAAGTTCACTGAGCATGTGCTGACCTCAGATGTCCCTAAGGTTTAGAAATGGATTTTTCCATTTACTCAGATATTTGAGAAAAAGAAATGGGCGGTTGCAAGGCAGCATCGTATTATTCCACAAATATTCTTGTTTTCTTCTTCCGCTTTATCTTTTTTCTGCAATAAATTTCTTAAGAGATAATATTTTTTATTATTTACTCATCATCATGTTGTTCCAAACCTGTATGCTAGTTAGTTTTCTGTGGAACACAAAATGGGATTTTTTTTTTAATGATTTTAATTGGCTCTTACATACAAAAAGCTATCTTACTAATTTGTATTATGTGTAGTTTAACAGACATGGTCACTATGAGCTATAGTTGTATTTTTGTTATTTTTAGTTGATTTATTTATTTTATTAGCAGTCTCCATTATGATAAATATTTGTAGCTGTTATTAACTTTATAGTTTTTAATAAATTTAAGAGAAAAACCTTTAAAATCTCCTGCTGAATTGGGTTGACAGAATGTTCACTATTCACAACTTAACAGCTAGCAAAGATATAAACATTATTTGCATATTTTTTTGTGACTGGTTCTCTTTCTTGTATTTATTTGCATACTAAATTGTATTTATTGTCTTCAGTTGTAGTTATTGCCTCTACACTACATTTGGGGTCAGTAAGTTTTTTTTTTTTTTTTTAAGAAGTTGATACTTTGATTCAGCAGGGACACATTAAAATGACCAAAAGTGACAATAAAGACATTAATAAATAAATTGTATAAAAAACATTTTCAACACCGATAATATAAAGAAATGTTACTTGAGCAATTCTAATCTAGTTTTAACACCCTGAAGTGTCTATGAGTTCCTCTCATACTTAGTCTATAGCAGCTTTCCAGAATCCCTATTTAGAGATGTGAGGAAGGCATAATAGTCCTGTCAATATAAGTGGTAGTAGATTATCCAATAAATGTCAGAGGGTGGCTGCGCCGCACTTTTAATAACTTTCTGACCGTCACTCCTTATCAGTTATTCCTGTTTTTTTTTTGTTTTTTCTTCTGCATATTTCCAGCATTTGTAAGAATGTACTCTTTTGCTTTGATTATATAGTCAGCATTTGTGGATCACTATAATGATGGTCTTTTGGTCCCCACTGAAGCTGCATTCTCATTAACTTGTGCGTCTGTGTTAAGTCTTTTGGAACAGAGTTTTGGACCTTGCAACGAATATGGGCAGCAGGATGTGACGCCACACTCTTGGGCATCTGTTATGAATAAATGACAAATAATAATAAAATCTGTGTTACAGATATTGGAAGAGCAGTTAGAAGTAGGCCAGACCAACTCCAGATTTAAATAAATCATTAAACTCACACTCAAAAGATCTTTCATATGACCTCTGCTGAGTTAATTTTGACCATCTCATTTATGTAATGAAAATCACACCTTTAGTGCTTCTGTAGGTTTAATTAAGCAGAGCCACAGGACAGATAATACAGAGTCTGTATTAATACAGACTGCAGTAATACAGACGACCAGAAAGAGAAGGGCATCTATTATGTAAAAAGACAGCTTGAATGCTTCTAGCTACACAGAACTGGTGCACTGTTGCATTCTGAAATATGTAGACCACATTTCATAATGTAACTTTGTTTTCTCTATAGTAGACACGAGTATAAACTGTTGTCTTCTACTTATGTATGTTTTTTACCTTATTGGGCATAGAAGTTATATTACCATTCAAAATTTGGGGTTGCTTTTTAATGTTTTTTAAAAGCCTCTTCTGCTCACCAAGGCTGCATTTATTCGATCAAAAATACAAGAAAAACATTAATATTTTGAAATATTATTAAAATGTACAATAGCTGTTTTCTATGTGAATATATTGTAAAATATAATTTATTCCTGTGATCAAAGCTGAATTTTCAGCAGTCATTACTCCAGTCTTCAGTGTCACATGATCCTTCAGAAATCATTCTAATATGCTGATTTGATACTCAAGGAATTCATATTGTCAATGTGGACAAAAATTGTGCAGCTTATTATTTTTGTGAAAACTGCAATACATTTTTTTTCCAGAATTATTTGATGTCACCTTTATTTCTAGTGCTTTACACAGTACAACACAGATTGTGTCAAAGCAGCTGCACAGAGAGACAGGAAAATAAATGAATAGAAGGTTCAAAAGAACAGCATTTATGTAAATCAGAAATCTTTATAAATGTCTTAAATAAAACATAAATGTCTTTACTGTCACTTCTGATCAACTTAATGAATCCTTGCTGAATAAAAGATTACATTTTTTAAAAAGAAACCCCAAACCATTGAACAGTGGTGTAGGAACTTTTGAACTAAGATGTTAAAAAAATATATATATA